AGCCTGGAGAAGAGAAGGCTCTGGGGAGATCTTATTGTGGCCTTCCAGTACCTAAGGGGGGCCTACAGGAGAGCTGGGGAAGGACTTTTTACTAGGGCATGTAGTGATAGGACGAGGGGGAATGGGTTTAAACTGGAAGAGGGCAGGTTTAGATTCACCATTAGGGAGAAGTTTTTCACTTTGAGGGTGGTAAGGCACTGGAACAGGTTGCCCAGAGAGGTTGTGGAGGCCCCATCCCTAGAGGTGTTCAAGGCCAGGCTGGATGGGGCTTTTAGCAACCAGGTCTAGTGGGAGGTGCCCCTGCCCATGGCAGGGGGTTTGGAACTCGACGATCTTCAAGGTCCTTTCCAACCTAAACCATTCTATGATTCTATGATTCTATGTCAGTAACATCCCCAGTTAAAGTGATACTTCTTTTTTTTTCATTTCATCAGAGCTTCTCTCAGAAGTATGCACAGTTCTGACTACCCAAATCCTAAATTGTGGCTTTCGCTTCTGAATGGTTTTGCCTGTGTCTTTAATATATCAGAGTCTTACACAGATTGGGAACTAGCTCATCACTTCATGCTCTTAAGCACTGGCAATACTGAGGTTTTGCTAATGACAGTTTTACCTGCCCTAACTCATTTTTATGTTATTTGTAAGGACAGGAGGTTTTAACATATATTAAGTTTTGGTAAAGCATTTCCTACCTAGGTGGACAAGAATCAACCCCTTTTTCTGCTAGAATTTACAGCCTGGCAGACCTAAGTCAATACATACCAGTACTTTATTTACTCTTCTGTAAAAAGAGGAACATGGAAAGATAAGGACACAGAGATGACTTGCATGCAAGTCATTTTTAAAATGTTAGCTAAAGAACACCAGGACATTCTAGGGAACATATCAGATAAGCGATATTTAAAAGTTGTAAAGAAAAAGACCTAAGTAATGATGACCACATGTAATCATAGAATCATGTAGGTTGGAAAAGACCTTTAAGATCATCAAGTACAACGATTAACCTACTGCTGCCAAAACCATCACTAAACCATGTCCCTAAGCACCACATCTACCCATCTCTTAAATACCTCCAGGCATGGTGTCTCAACCTCTTCCCTGGGCAGTCTGTTCCAATGCTTGGCAACCCTTCCTGTGAAGGCATTTTTCCTAATATCCAACCTAAACCTCCCTTGGTGCAACTAGAGGCCATTTCCTCTTGTCCTACTGCCTGTTACTCGGAACAAGAGACCAATCCCCACCTCGCTACAGCTTCCTTTCAGGTAGTTGTAGAGAGCAATAAGGTCTCTCCTCAGCCTCCTTTTCTCCAGGCTAAACAACCCCAGTTCCCTCAGCCTCTCTTCATAAGATTTGGGTTCTAGAGCATTCACCAGCTTTGTTGCCCTTCTCTGGACACACTCCAGCACCTCAATGTCTCTCTTGTAGTGAGGGGCCCAAAACTGAACACAGTACTCAAGGTGGAGCCTCACCAGTGCCAAGCACAGGGGGACAATGGCTTCAGACAAATCATTTCAGACAAAATAATAAACCAGCTGTTAATGGATTAAACTGGGAACTAAATAGGTAAGAACATGAATATCAGCTTACAGAAAACAGAGGCTGTCAAACAAACGTGGTATTTTTTTGTGATTACAAATTTTAGTCATGCAAGTGTCAAAAGAAGAGGGAAAATACACCTTCCATTCCACTCAGTGTTTTCTGTTTATACTTCCAAAGATCTTATTAGCTTTCTTGGACTTGGCATCATGATGCATTCTCATATTCAGATGGTAAGTCATATGAACCCTTTATGTTTTTCATATTCACTGGTTCCCAGGCCAAAATCCCTCCACCCTATACATGTATTTACTGATATGCAGCCAAAGACGGCATCCAAAGACTATAGCAGCGGACACTCTAAGTTGATAGGTGACAAACATTTGGAGCTCTTTGGACTCTATGATCTTAAAGGTCTTTTCCAAACTAAATGATTCTATGATTATGGAACATAGTTTATTTGCTGACACCTTGTTTATCAAAGCACTTTGTCCCGGATATTGGACAGACTGTAAATTAGGTGAGGGTGAGGTAGGATGAAAGTCCTGTACTGAGATTTTTTCACATGTTCATTAGAAACCATGCAAGGTACTATTTAGCAGACAGAAAAATGCATTTCAATTTCCCTTGTCTGCAAAGAGAGGAAACCTGGAAATCTTTGATGCAGAGACTATTGAGATCCATTTTCATATTTTTTTTCAGTCTGTTAATGACTTTCAAACTTCTGAGTTTCCCATGGACAAACACATATTGTACATGAAAAACACAATGTAAGATGGTTCTCCAGTCAAGAGTTGCTTTCATTACTCGCCACTAAAGTGGGGGTGAGCTGGGAGGAGGATACCCTCTTGTACTCTTCTGCAAGGAGCAAATAATGCCCTTAGTGGAGACAGGATGCCAGGCTACAAGGGGTTTTGTCTGATCAAATGCAGCAGTTTATACTACATAAGTATATTACTTATGTAATAGCAGCGTAATGTAACAAGAGCTGTCTCTATCCTGGATTGTCTGGTAAAATTCTAGTTTCACCTTCAAGAATTCAAGTCAATACTTCAGAAATACTATTTTTGCAGTCAAATGCTGCAAAAGCTTCTGGGAGAAGCTTCTTTGATGCAAAAGTTACCACAAATCTTTTCTTCAGAATTCAAAGGAGGGCAAATAAAACAAAAGCAGGGCATGGACACAGGGTCAGAATCCTGTGTTAACAAAGAGAAATACTTTAGTCTTTGGAAAGAGATGAAGCCTCTTAGTGTTTACTGCTACAATTATGGAATAGCTGTGTAGCATGTTAGATTAAACAATAATCAATTAATGAATCCTCTGCCTCTAAATTGTAAGTTTAAATTTGTCATCTACTCATTGCATTTGATCTCACAGACAGAAAAAAAAAAAAAAGATTACACTTGGTTCTACTGTGTAGGTTTCTACTGTAGGCTGATCACCACAACAACCAACCATCCACCTTCTAAGACAATAGTTTGATAAGTATAATTTCAAGTAGCAGTGGTGGCATATGCAGCCTTCAACCACTCACTCCCACTACTATTACTCTTTTCAGCTGTGCCAAAGAAAATCCTTGCTACACAGTAAAGGTGATTGGAAAACTGATCTCTGGATTACTATTTTTTTCCCTTTTGTCTTGCCTGATTATTGTTAAGCCAGAATACTCTTCAACTCAGTGAATTATGTGACTACAAATTAACCCTCCCCAAGCCCTGATAACAAAAACATCAAAATCCCCCATATTGAACAAAAGTGGTGGGGCTGAACAGACACAAGGTCAAGTTTTCATAGTGAGAGTCAAAACAAGCAAAGGAGAATACAACAGGCCTTTAAAGAGTACTTGTTACTAACATCCTTCCAGGCAGAACTGTCAGTCATTAGAATGACTCTTCTTTTTTTTTTTTTTTATCTTATGATAAAAAAATCTATTTAACTTAATCACAGATAAAACTAGTCCACATATAGTCTCAACACATTTTTTCTTCAGTTGTCGTTCTGCCCTGAAAATATTTGCCGCAACTGAAGATACCTATCAGTTTGTACTTGGCTTCACAGTGTTTGCAGACTGTGGAAAAAAGACACCAGGCCTTACACACATATAAACTATTCTGTAAAGTCCAGAAAAACTATTAAAAACCTGTACATATCATGTACAGTTGTGAAAAAATAAATAGTACCATTAAAAAGCTTACACCATTGCATTGTTTTTGACAGTAAACCCAGCTTGAAACCCTGTCCCTATCTTACCAGATTTAAATGGGCACGCACCCCTCTTATCTCATCATTCATTCAGACTGGGAGATGTGGATCATTAAGCTGGGTACTAATTTGTTCCTAAACTACACTCATTCATCATTAGTTGGCAGTGAGAGGTTGATCAAGTCAGTCGTGGAGTACTTCTGTGACCCTCCCATGAATTGTTTATTTTCTGCATGAGTTACTTAAGAAATTTTCTAGAAGTTATTTCAACAGTTTTAGTAGCCATTATGTTAAGCATAACCATTTCTGTGGCCAGGTTAGTCACAGAGGTATCTCTGCCGTATTCACGAAGTATATTCTTACTCTGGACCTCTATGTTTGGTATTATCCTCCATATTGTATTATAAAGGGTATTTGTGAACTGTTCTTTCTAAAAAGATCTCTCTGATGGACTACTAAAACAAATCAAAAGTCAGCCTCTGGTATTGCACAGAATGATGTCTCTTCATGAGGAACAAACACAGTTGTTAGTAAGCGTTAGCTACACTGTGTGTGAGGAGGGGGTTACCCTGAGAAGATTCATGTAATAGCTAAAAGATTCTTATATTTCCTTCTGATGAGCTTCTCTCTCATGGACAATTTTAAATATTACAGCAGAACCCACCTGCAGTAATTTAACCTGTGCCTCAGAGGATTTTTCATGATGAAGAGAAGATACTCTCAGTAATAGTTTGGTGGATGAAGAACTAATAAAATCCATCGTATGAATTATCATCATATTTTGTGGCAGCTATTTTATATAAATAAGTCTATTCTATAGAAATATTTTATATCAAATATATGGATATGAAAATATTACAACAGATTGGGAATTAAACAAATTTCCAATGCATAAGCTGCCCAGCATTCTAGTTAAGGAAACTTCTGTTGCGGAAATTACACAGAGACTATTTTTTTTGCCTTCTCATAGACCTCTGGTTTTTTTTCCAGCTTATAATAATTTGTAAATAATATTAGCATAATAGAAGTTAGAGACAGGAACAACACAAGAAATCACTCAGATTATCCACTAAAAATAATTATTTTGCTAGAAGACAAATCAGATGCTTATCACCTCTTAATCGAGTTTGTATTTTTTGTTTAATAACTAAAAGAAACCGTATGTTGTTTTTTTTTCCTGTGGTATAGAACTGTTGATCCTAGGAAAGAAACAGAAGAATGTTCAAGTCTGTATATTGAAATGTACCAAATCGCTGATTTACCTGTTTTTTCAGAGGGAAGAGAAATGCTGTTTTTTGTAGTATCCAGGATAACAGCCAGCCCTGCAGAGAGTGACGGGAGGATACTGGTGCTGAGATCTACACGGGTTAGACTTTCAGATTCTCTTTCCAAGGTTTTTAGAATACCTCCATCATGGTTATCTTCTGTCTCATCCTTGTTCTGACTGTTCTTCTGTGAACTCTGAACAATATGAACGATACTCTGCTGGGCCAGGTCACAATTCTGCAACAGAAAACCAAAATCCCAACAAATAATTAATTGTGACATAAGGGACAAAATCACTCTATCTCCAATTTGTTATTTGTTAAGTGTTCTCCAAGTCATTTTGTGTAGAATTTCAGTGTGCAGTAATGGAGTTTAAAGCAAAGTGACAAGTGTAAATTGCTGGAATTAGGATTACTTGCATTGGCAAACGGGTCACAACACTTACAAATTCTAAACATTTAACAAGAAATGGTGGACCAGAGCCAACAGCTCTAAATAAGTCTGGTTTATTGGTACAAAGGAAAAACTACAGAGGGGGAACTACTAAATCAAGTGCTAAGAATATTCAATACATAAAATGATACATACTTATGATACATACTCTTCATGTAGCAATTTAGGGTCACATTTGACAATCACAGAAAGTTCATGACCAAGCTACTCCAAAGTATCTTTGTAAACAGAAACAAGGAAGATGATGCTCCTAATGTAGACTGATACTTATTTCTTGTCCCTAATGCAATTTTTAATCTTAATCTAAATCTAAAATATCATTTACAGATATTTTAGCGCTGTTTATACCCTTGTTATTATCCTAGTCTCTCTTCTACCACTTTTTATCCTCCAGTCTCATTTTTGGTTAGTGGTTTTACTTCATTCTCTTGCATTATTTCTCAGTACTTCCCGCTCCACCTTTTCTTTCTTATGTAATGCAGTTCCACAAGACTAAAATATGTGTTTTTTTCAAACTGAATTTTTAATAACACACTCTCTCCTTAGTGAAGCAGTAATCAGACAGCAGAGATTTGTCAGAGCAAGGACATTGCAGTATGCATATTCAAAAAAAAGCAGTTATTAGATTTCAACTTTAAAACATTATGTTGACATTAAAGGTCTCCTTTTTTGTCCAACTTGCCCATAACATTTGAACAAGATCCATTTAAATAGCTTAACAATTTCACTCATTAACACAAAATCCAAAACACAGCTGTCGCTCTAAAACTTCTCCAACTAAGGATGCTGCATAACATTAAAGAATTTAATAACCTAAGAGAAATTAATAATGAAATTAATAACCTAGGAGAATGAGGAGCTCAAAGGCGTTTTGCTCAGTTACAGCTACAATTACAAAGGGAAATAGGTATCTATGTAAAAACTCACAACCTTGGAAACCCCTAATCAACTGTCAATCAGTTAAACCATGTTTTAATGAGCATCTCTTCTGACAGTTTTGCTTGCCTAAACAGCCCCTGTCCTGTCTTTTATTTTTTCTCACCATCTACTATCCTTCTCAGTTTGTTTCTTTGTAAAGTTTGCATCAGTTCCCTGAGTCAGTTCACAGTCTGATGCTGTGCTACAGTCACACTGAGGGGATGGTGCAGAAGAGAGAATGAGAAGAATGGTAAGGGCTGCTTCAATCAAACAAAATGGTCCTGCAAAATCACAACCTTTTTCAAGGACTTTTGCTTGATCTTGACTGCTGTACACATTTAGATGCATGGCTTAAATTGATTGTTCTTGAAAAAGTCTAGGTTCCTTTATAGTTCTTTTTGCAGGCTGGAGAGTATGTGGTTAGCTTAGAAACAAAGTAAGGGCCGACAAAATAGAGACCCATCTTATTTGCTGTTCTCTCTCCAATAATGTCAAGAACCACATACTTAAAAAAAAAAGATGTTGAATTTGCACTTTGGGCAATTATACATCCATATGACCATAGCAATAGCATATTCGTGGATTTCACTTAATAAAAGTTTTCATTTTAAAAGGGCAGGTGAACAGGCTGTATCTTAGCTTTCTTGCATCCCTATGAAAAACAAGAAAAAACTTTGGAACATTGAGATCGCTACTGATAACGATAACAGGTCACAGACACAGGAAAGCTTAATTAGCAGATCTGAGGATAAGCTTTCACAGATAGCAGCAAGGAAAAACAAACAACATCGTTTGATTTGTACACTAAATATATTTGATATGGAAGTCACTGAGCAGTAATAAACACGGAATCCCAAATCATCAGTTTTGTAATGTTGTTTCTGACTATATTTGAATTGAATTTGGCTTGTGTTTAAAGGAGGGAAGTAACTGTCAACCTTTGCAAGAAAAGTGAGAAGACAGTACAAGAAAATGAAAAAAAAAAGGTTTGTGATCAATTGTGAAGAGACGTGGTGGAGAATATTACCAAGCAGTTCCCAGAATTAGGGTGATTAATGCTTTATAGCAGACTGCATTTTGTAGACGGCAGATGGGCTAAGTCTGCAGCTTTTTTTTTCACTGAGAAAAGAGGAAGAATTCCAACTATTTCTGTAAATGTTTAGGTTTTGCCTTAGGTTACTATTGTAACACAAATCTAAGACACAATTGTTTATGTCAATGTCACTTTCATTTTCTTCATGTATTTGTTTTATGCCTCAGGAAACACTTCTTTTGAGAATATCTATTATTAATGATTCTACAGATATTCTCTTGTCTTATCTGTTGATCCAAATTAATGCTTGTGATCCATATTCCAAAGGGAAATACTGCAAGTGTATATGTTGTAGACTACGAAGCATCTCCTTGCACTAGAGCAAAGGGAACCGAGAAGATCTAGAAGTGATGAAACCCGGTATAAAAGACTGGTTCTTTACGGACAATGGGTTTTGGCCAACTTGGAAAAATGAATTCATGGCAGGTGAAATTAAACCTTTTATATTTAAGACTTTTGCTTTTGTATATTTTTCTTAATTCTCAACTTGAGTTTCACAAGGCTGAACCAGCACATCCTGAGTGAATAACACAATATCCATTGGTACTGCCAGCTGTGGGCTAACCAGAAGGTCACTTTAGGCAACTGAGCTAAATTATGAACAAGGAAAGGATGACTATGTTTCAGCAACTATGAAATCCTCTTAATCTGACAGATTTCTGCTGGATATCTTCTTGACAACATATTTTGATAGTAACATCATTACTGAAGGAAGTATTCTCCATCTAACAAATATATAATCCACTAGAAAAGTCATATTTTTTTTTTCTGAAGTGCAATACACTTTATTTTGAAATGTTTTATTTAAAGAAACACTAGAGCAGAGAATAGCCAGAATTCAAGGCTTTGGATTTGAATGTAAAAAAGCTAATTTCTTGTGGTGTTTTGTCTTGAAAAGGAATTTGAAATGTTTTCATTTCATGTTAACCACAAGTTCGGTTTTTTTAGGTGTTTGGGTTCTTTTTTTTATTGCTTCCCAAACTGAAAAAGCAATTGTTCACATGCCACTACCTAAGATTCAGTTCAAACTTTTCGTATTATCTGGAGAGCCACATCTTTGCCCATTAATCCCTGGGGCCCATAGAGTGTAAACACTAACAGTTTGCCTAATTGCTGCCTATTTAGATTAAGCAGATAATAGACTGCCTGATGCCACTAAGAGATTCACACAAGGTAAATGCTCAAGAAAAGGGATTTTAAACTTCTAGGAATGATCAACAAGAATCAAAATGTTGGCTTTGCAGTTAGGCTTTTTCTTAACTGTGCTGCATTTCAATATCAGATGGGAAAACAAGGGGGACATTTTTGTCTCATTAATCTGCAGAATGAATGAAAGAATAGAAAAGCTCTCTGGAGTACCTGTAGCACAATACACCTCTTCAAACCAATAGGACTCATGTAAAAGTGCAGATGACACACTAACTTTACTGGAAAAATGTTTATCCATGGATAGTGTAAAGAGGCATTAAAGGTGACCTTCTAAACAGAAGGAAAAAAAAAAAAATGTAGTTCCTAGAAGAGAGAAAAATAAGCCCACCAAACCTCACTCTACTGTTGCTCTAACCGTCTCCCAACCCAAGGACAGAGACCAAGTCTCAAAAGCAGCAGACACAGAAAGCAAATCAATTGGAAGAACACCACCACTATTTTCATTCCCTGATCAAAGAACAGTGATGCAAAAAAAAACCAACAAGAAGAAAGCAACAACAAAAAAATATCCTTTATTACATAGGGAGCAAAAGCTGAAATATTAATGAACTTCAAAGTGGAAATTACCTAAAATAAAAACCACACATATAGTATTAACATTCTGTTGGTCTAAGAAACAGGAAGGAAGATTTGCAAGAAGACTTAATATCTTTTATTTAACCAGATGATATAGAAAGAAAAACCAAATAAGCTTTTGGGCTCAGAGACTCTTCTGCAGGTCATGGCAAGAGAAAATCTGAAGAGAAAACTAACCACTGTTAAAATAAGGCAGCAAATCAGCACCCTGATCTGATACCGCCATCCGTTTGTGTGAATTCTGTCTGCTGAGTGGCAGTGAACTAAATACTGCAAGGGAAAAAAGCCAGTGCACCACTGGGGCTAAATTACACAGACCACTTAGGAGTTAAATCCCAGCAATCGGAAACTACTTGCTATTGTATGATGCTGTGGAATACATCTATATTTTACTTCAGCTCACCTTTTCAACATTTTTAGTTACACATTACCGTACTTGTTTGGTATTCAGAATATTGTGGGTGCTAAGCAACGCCTAGAAGGAAAAATAGATGTATTATTGAAATTATTTCTTCAAATAAACATGATGAAAAGGCAGAAACCCCTTCACTTGGCTGAATATTTGTACCCTAATTTTTATAATCTCTTCCTATTCAGTTCTTGCGGTAGTCTAAATATTGACTGTGCCAAAGACATTGAATAAAAGAAAAGATACCAAAAAAGTGCTATGAAAAAGGATTTGTCACTTTCTAAATTCAAAACCTAGTATCATTTTAAGGACCACTATTAGAGTTCCAAAGACAGACTATTGCAGCAAATGAAGGAAGGAGTACATGAAGAGTCTTCAGCAGGTAACAGTGAAGCTGAGAGTAATCAGATGCAAACAAGTGATGTAGAATCAATACATTTTTAGCACAACCAGTGGCAAATAACAGTGGATGAGAGACAGCCCTTTGGCATATTAAGATGCTGGAAGACAATAAATTGCCTTGTTTTAAGAGGAAATGGGACAATACCTCTTCAAAACACCTTTAAAATAAGGATAAGA